TGTTGCTGCATATTGTCAATGCAATTTCCCTTCCAGTACATAAAAAAATATGTGAATCAGTATTGTGACATGAGTGAATACCACTCATTAAAACACCTCCAGAAACACTTACTTGGTGCTGTGATTAGTCAGGAGGCTCACAACAACCAGTAAAACAAAACATGATTAGTTTGAGAGCTCATTTGCATATTGCAGCCTTCTGCGACATCTGTTTTGCAAAGGATAATCACATTAATGATTAAGAAATAAATTTAGTTGCAGTTAACAACTGAAGAATCTCAGTTGAATACTTGAAGATACGTCTTTGTGAAAATACACTGTTTTTAGCATCATCAGGAGTGTGAGATAGCTGGGGGTCTCAGTGAAGACCTGTCGAGCTGTATATTTAGGTCTCGTAGCTCCAGGTTAAATCATTATGGGTCATGACTGTTATGCCTGGAGTTCAGCACAACTGTGATTATACTCCACAGATTCCTTCTCCCTCTAATGTCATTGTCTGACCTGTAATACATATGTGCTCACTCATGTGTACACTCACACAAACACAAAGGAAGTGCTTCATGTCCTCAGGCAACATGTTGCTATGGGACAGTGACCCGCTGTAATTATCAACATGAACACAAACACACTTTGAGTAATTTAATTTGTATTAATCAGATACGTACATGTTCCGAGAGTGTTTGAATTAGATTGTGTGTGTTTTTTCAGGCTTGATTGCTTGTGTGAGTTTATTTGAAGGGAAAGCAGCCTTGTTATTTTGTTGTGAGATAAGGTGCCGATGACCACAAATCACAAACACACATACTGTACATGCATGAACTCCATATGTTCCCACTGTTGATTTCATGCTCAAAGAAACATGCAGAATCTGGCTGTGATAGTTCTGTCCTTGCACACACGCAGGGATCGTTCACACAAATCCACTCACATACACTCTGTAGGCCAAAGTATGTGGACACGTGACAATCACACCAATTCTTGCGTTTCACGTGACGTCACACTGTATAGTCGCTGCCATTCTGAGGACCGAATCGGGGAGCGACCTCGCTGCGTGATGCCCTTAATTTGCTGTGCTGTGTGAATGATTCACCTGCAAGACACGACAGAAGCAGAGAATGACGAGACACACAGACCTTTAATCCAGTGTTTTCAGACTCCAGGTTTGGAGCCCCTGAACTGAATAGTTTAGTGTTTCTCTCTGCTGTTCACCTCGTTCAGCTCAAGAAGGGATTAATTAGCTAATAATATCAGGTAAAAAAAAAGCACATCAGATAAACATAAATGTCAGGAAAACAGAAATTTGGTAGTTTTTCGCCAGTTTAAGTGGGATCAGGAGTTCAGGGGGAAACTGTATAAGTATCACAGACTATTTTATTGACTTTATCGAGGTAACGTTTTCTCTCTTCCAGAGTAAGGAGAGTTTTTTAGTCATCTTTCACCTTTAGTTGCGTTCGTGCGGAGCAGCAAAGCCAGAAACTCGGTCCCAAATATGGCGGCCACAACAGAAACATCATGTGACTGAAACCGTAGGATATGAACTTTTTGGAAGTTGTGTGGGCACAAGATTTTGGAGAGTGTCTGAGGGGATATTGTGGCCGTTCAGTCAAAAGAGCATTTGTGAGGTCAGGAGCTGATGTTGGACTAGAAGGCCTGGTTCGCAATCAGTTTCATTTCATCCAAAGATGTTCACTGGGGTTGAGATCAGAGATTTGTACAGGCCACTGGAGTTCCTCCACACCAAACCATGTCTTTATGGACCCTGCTTTGTGTACTGGGGCACAGCCATGCTGGAACTGGAAAAAGCATCAACATTACCATTCCCTTTAACTAAGGCCTGGACCAAACCCTGAGAATCAGCCCCAGACTATCCCTCTGCCACCAAACTTTACCGTTGGCATTATGCATTTTGATAGGTAGCATTCACCTGACATCTGATGAGCCCAGATTCGTCCATCAGACAGCCAGATAGTGAAGCGTGATTCACCATTTTAGAGAGGTTTTTGACTCTTCCAGAGTCCAGTGACCATGAGCTTTACGCTACTCCAGCCGATGCTCGGCATTGCACAGTGATCTTAGGTTTGTGTGCATCTTCTCAGCCATGGAAACCCATTTCACGAAGCACCTGATGCACAGTTATTGTGCTGAGTTTTCTTTCTGGAGGCACTTTTGTAATGATTGAGTGAGTAACAGAGAATAGGCGTACATGCATAGTGGCCCCACTCTTTGAGTTTGTGTGGTCTACCACTTTGAGGCTGAGCTGTTGTTCCTTCTAGATGCTTCCGTTTCACAATAGTAGCACTTACGGTTGTCTAGGGCAGATCTAGCAGGGCAGAAATTCCACAAACTGACTTGTGGCCGAGGTGCCGTCCTATGACAGTGCCACAATTAAAGTCACTGAACTCCTCAGTAAGACAGATTTTACTGCCAGTGTTCGTCTATGGAGATTGCATGGCTATGTGCTTGATTTTATACTTATGAGCAAAAAATGTGGTTAAAACACCTGTCATTAGTAAGGATGTCTGCATATTTTTGACCATCTTTTTTTTTCCTTAACTGGCAGTGCTCAAGCCTCTGTCTTCCTGGATCCTAATTTATACAAAATGTAATCACAGTTTTAATTGCTCTCACAAAATAAGAAAAATCACAATAAGGTATTTTTCCCCAAATCGGTCAGCCTGACATGGAAGTAAAGTATTGAATGGTGTGATGTACTTTTTTCCAGCAAGTACTAAGTAATGTAATCAAGTTAGTAATTTGTAATAGATTACTTTTTAAAAAAAAAGCCTCAGCTCTGGTTGTAGTTCTGAATGGGATTCATTCCTTTTTCACTCCAATATCCAAAACAGCTTTTTCTGTTGTTATCAACTTGATACCTAAAGGCTGGTGTTGATGTGATCCACACAAAGGCCGTGTTTATTTGTTTCAGTTCATGTTGACACATTTGTGTTAAGGCTTTTTGAAAGCAGTGGCTTTAACAACAAACTCCTGTTGGGAAGCTGAGTTGAAGTGAAATGACACCCTTTGCAGCGTACAGAATTACACAGCATGTGTTGACCAAGTCACCGTGGAATTTCCTGTGTTTACTGCTGCATCACTGTGTAAGAATGATGATTATTTCACCATGCCATGTAGTGGACATTTGCTGTGTCTATAAACAGTTTTACTATAAAGTTTTACCGTTTTAATATAATTTACTATAAATTTTGCCATTATTTTGCATTCTCAAGGGTGATTCACACCGAAAGCACTTCTGAAACGTTTTTAGTAGTCTGTCTGACGGATCAGATAATCTTCCTATTTGATCAGTGTTTAAGGTGCTAGAGGTGCACCTTACATCGTTTGCTTATGCGCAGAGTCTGTTCTTTTCCACTTGCTCTTTTAAGTGAAGTGTAAATTCCATAAAGACCCAGTCAAATCACACACACTCACTTTCTATAGCAAAAACATAGTGGAATATGTTATAATACATTATTATTAATTATAAACAATATTGATCTAGCAAAGTATTTCTGCATTTGATCTGTATTTTTTTCTATTTGAATACACAGTTAATATTAGGGGCTTTTGTAATCAAAATATTTCAACATGCGCAACATTGAACATAAAGATTAGATTAACGGAAATTTGTTTTTTTTAAGATTAAGTGACCCTTATTAGTCCCACAACAGGGAAATTTCACCTCCGCAATCTAACCCATCCGTACAGTGAAGCACCACATACACACTAGTGAAGACACACACTAGGGGGCAGTGAGCACACTTGCCCAGGGTGGTGGGCAGCCCTAACCGCATCGCCCGGGGAGCGGTTGGGGGTTAGGTGCCTTGCTCAAGGGCACCTCAGTCACACATCGTTGGCGCAGAGGATCGAGCCGGCGACCTTCTGGTCACAGGGCTGGTTCCCTAACATCCAGCCCATGACTGCCCCCCCCCAGTTTTGTACTCAGTAATCATAGAATGATTCTGAACCCCATTTTTTTATACTAGCCACAAGAGAGGCAAACAATCGACAAAACTGCTTCATTCACCATTGTTGCAGGGCTTGTGTTAATACTTACCTTATTTAAAATAATTTATTTAAGTATTTAAAATACATGATTAATATTTTATTAACCTTTTTAGTTAGATCTTGTTGGCCTGGTAGTTGCAGAGCAGCCGCTATGCTGTACTAATAGTGTGGAGTCTACATGGTTGCCCTGCACACTCCGACACCAGCCACAGTTAAAACAGGATTGTGATTTTGTTGCAGTCACTCAAGCTGCTGTTTATGTTGTTATTACCTTTCAAGCATGCTGTTCCGTAATTTAATTAGAAAAGAAAAGGAGAAAATACAGCAGATACTCCTTCCTGTAGCAGTTACATGACGGAGCTCAATCACAAATAACAACTTCTGAAAAATTCTTTGTTCATGACTTTAACTCAGCGGTCTTAACACTTACTGACATTTCTTATCCATTGCTTAATTAGAGTGTTCATGACCAATGATGAGGTTCTAGCACGGCACAGGATCATGCACGGTGCACACCAGCTAGAACTGAGCGAAGCAGATGGTTGACCCAAGCATACAGCTAGCTAATAAGCAGTCCTGTGGGCAGTTTGAACAGTACTCTCAGCTGCATTGTGAGCGTATATGTTGCACTGTGATTGCACTTCTCCTGTTAGACAACAGCAAGAGACACTGACACCATAGTTGATTGTTGTTTAACATGTTTAACTGTCAATCTGTCCCTTGACTGCAGTCATGAGATTTTAATTTTTAAATGGAGCATAGCATACTTCTTTTTGTCAGAGGGCAGCAGGACGACCCTTTCTATAAACTGTTATTAATCATAATGATAAAACCAGTATAGCATGGTAGAACGGTTCACTCACCAGCTGACCAGCTGGTTGTTTTTTAATGAGTTTTGCAGATTCAGTGACAAATATCTCTCTCTCTCTCTCTCTCTCTCTCTCTCTCTCTCTCTCTCTCTCTCTCTCTCTCTCTCTCTTTCTCTTTCTCTGTAGGAGATGTCCCTGGTGGCCCCTGAGTCGCCATCAGAACAGGCCAGGAGAGTCTTCCAGACGTTTGACCCAGAAGGTAAACCTTTACAAAGCCAGCCAATAAGAATTATCTTTCCATTCATTTGTGTTCTAGGTAGTATAAAAATGAGGGCCATCACTGGATGTTATAAAATGAATAGTTGTGGTTTTCATTTTCATAGCTGCGGTTTCCTGTTAAAATGTGTAAATAGTTTGAAATACACATGACTTGAATTGTGTATTATTGTGCCAAGTTATAAAAACCATTGTGCTGTTAATGGAGTAATGTTTTGACTGGTGTGTTGCTTGGCAGTCATGGCCTAACGTTAACAACTCCAGTCACTTAGCTGAGTAATGGTGTCTTGAGATCGTTGTGTTCATTGAACTGGGTGAAATCTTGGCAGTAGTCGGCTCCAAACAGCTCCAAAATACGATTAAACACACAGCTGCTGTATCACACAACCTTGCATCTCCATTTTAGCCATTTTTTGTGACATAATTTGAAAATGCCTTTTACATTGTGTGTAAATTTCAAGAAGAATGGACCAAAAAAAAAGATCCAAAATTACTTGGAAAAAAGTCTGGTTCTATTGACTTACATTAAAAGTAGGTTTTTTCCTTTCCTTTCCTTTTTTCCTTTCTTCTGTAAAGTTACCATTTTGAAGATACAAGGTTTTCTTCCAACAACAGCGATATCAATGTTCAAGGTGCAGTGTAGCTGCAAAACTGTATGTTTTTGTGCCACTTTTGTTTGTTTGTTTTTTGTTTTTCATTTCTCAGTTTTTGCCACAGGAATATATTTTGTACATGAGTCAAAAATGGAGGAGCTGTTGGCCATTCATGCTGATGTCACATCCTGTTTAACTGGGCTTTCATTGCTATTGTGAACACATACATCCCAGTAAAATACTGAAGGTATATATATGGAGGGGAAAAAAACTGTAACAGCCTGAGGCCGGCTCCTCACAGGAAAGAGCGCCTCATGGGTTTATTTGCTCTGCTGCTTATCAGAGAGAGAGGAGAGCCTACACTCAGAGTGTTTATTTCTGCATTACTGTGTAAGAGAGGGGGGACGAGGGGGAAGCATGAAGATGGAAAAGACATTAGAAACGAAAAATCTTATGCTTTTATGATCATATTGTGAGATTGTTATTGTGAGACACAGAAGATCAGTTGTAGATAGATTACAGGCTTAAATCTGTGTGAGATTGCAAATGATTATTGTACAAATTTGAGTTAAAACCTTTATCTCCCCTACAGGATCAACTTAAACTCTGCCATCCTCCTGCTTATAGAACTGCACACACACAAATGGACACTACCATTCAAAAGAATTTCTATTCAGTTTGGAATCACCTTTTTCTCTAATATAAAAACTGTTGCAGTGTAGAAGATTATTCTGTTATAACTACTCTGCAGCTTTATAGATTCCAACAAATTAATAGGAAGCAGAAAAAAAAAAATACAAATTTCCATGTCGGGATGATGAGCAGAGCTGTAGGTTATTCTGAAATGTAAAACTGAGAATAGACTAATAATAAAATTAATGTCACGTATTTGAAAATTGGATATTAAATTTCAAGTTAGATAACTCATTAAAGAAATTCTGTGGTTGTATAATTTGTCATTTAATAATGTTTAGCTTTTCCCATAAAACTTAAAATGGGCTCCTGAGTGGCGCAAACCATCTAAGCGTTGGCCACATGATCAGTAGATCATGAGTTCAATCCCTGGTGATGCTACAGCCATCTGTGGCCGGGAGTCCAAGAGAGCATAATTGGCCTCGCTCTCTCTGGGTGGATAGGACGGCCCCCCCTTCTCCCCCCATCGCTCAGCGCGATGCTAGTCAATGCAGGTGTCTGTTAGCTGACGTAACAGAACTGACGATCGCTGTTCTCCTCCAAGCGTGTTCGGCTGTCCAATGACATTAAGTTTGAAAAGAGGAAGGAGGAAGCCTGTGCTAGCCTTCACCCTCCTAAATAAGTTATTATTGAATTAAAAAAGAACTATTATTAATTTGACAAGGGGTACCAAAATTTATATTCACACAATCCCAAAAAGAACCACACACAATTTAGTTCAGTCACCTCTCTTTTTGGTTGGTGTAAGTACAGTGTTGCTGTTTTCTTTCATAAAACCAATAAAACACACAATAGTCCATTTTCAGAGCTAAATGTGGCTAGTTTTACAAATGTCCTACGTAGTTGCTGAGGTTTTGCTAGGCTGTTGGTATGTTTTCCCAGGTAGCTGCTAAGATGCTACTGTGTGTGTGTGTGTGTGTGTGTGTGTGTGTGTGTGTGTCACTGCTGTCGGAAAGAATCCACGTATCTCCATTTTTGTTGTTTTTCAGTTTTTGACAGAATTCGAAAATGCCGGTTACCCTTTACATTGTGTGTAAATTTCGTGATGAATGAACTAAAAGAAAAGACCCAAAATGACTTGGAAAGACGTCTGGTTCCATTGACTTGCATTAAAAGTAAAGTAGGTTTTTTCCTTCTCCTGTAAAGTTACCATTTTGTAGATACAAGGTTTTCTTCCGACAACAGGGATATAAGGCTTGTATGTATGTGAGTCTGTATGTAATGTCTGTGAAGGGCAGTGTGAGAGATGTTCTTTATGGCATCATTTGTGGCAGTTCATGTCCTACTGGAGGAAAATCCCATTTGAACAAATGTTGTTTAAAAAACTGTACGTGCAGTTAGTCCCAAAGCTGCAAACGCAGCATTACTGTATTGACTCCACAACCCTGCAGAGTTTTGTAATTCTAGCACAAAAACTGTGATTTGTAAAAACAGTACAACATAAACCTATAATAATAGAATGAAGAACAGTTAGTTGACTTAATTAGCTCTCCTGCAGATTATTAGAGGGAAAACTGACTGAACAACTGCTTTCAATGACAGTCCTTGATGGAAAACTCTGCACGTCTTAGTCTCCTCTGTTAGTGAGTCTCTTGTGGGGTGTGTTTTGTGTCTGTGTGTGTGTTTGCCTCCCGTAGGTATCTGCTTTTGTGATTTTAGTAAGCAGGAGTAATATTTTCTCTACTTTTCCTCTTTATTTATTGCTCACTATATGAAAGTCTTCATCCTGGAGCCCCCCCGAGGAGAGGGAATATAGAGGAGCTAAAAAGGGAAAAAATATATCAGGAGAGGGAGGAAAATCCCTGTAGCCTACCTATAAAAGCATCTGGCTTCTTAAACATGCACTGTTTAAACCAAGGCAGTCCTGTGTCTCTTCCTTATCGGGAAGAGTTGTGTACATGCATGTGTGCATATTAAGAAAACACAAGGATGCTGAGATTAAGAGACTAAAACGTTATGAGATTTTAATCTGTTCCACACTCTGTGTGTACACAAGCTTGTGAGCCCGAAACGCAGACTGTTTTTAGAATCTCAGTGACTTCTCAAAGACTGACTGTTCCTCTAAGAGTTCAGCGTAATTTCTAACATAGTAAACAACATTCTTGCGTTTCTGTTTTATCAGAACAATGTGGCTTCATTTCTCACACTCAGACTCATAAACAGAAAACAGGACAGAAAAGCTCTACTATAGCACATACAGTACTTTGCTAAAGTAAGAGACCACCCTTAATTTACTTCATTTGCAGTCAACAGGACAGAAAAGCTCTACTATAGCACATACAGTACTTTGCTAAAGTAAGAGACCACCCTTAATTTACTTCATTTGCAGTCAAAGTGGCCATAAAGTTGACATTATTCATTTGTTTATGTTGAGGGGAAAATAAAAAACAGAAAACATACCGTGGGGTCCAAATGTCTGAGACCACAGTGAAAATTGGGGATATTTTTTCTTCTAAACTGAAAATAACAGAAAGGTTTAGAGTGGTAAATGTGTAAAAAAAATAAATAAATAAATAAATAATGAAGTAAAATAAAGAAGAAATGTTAAAAATTTTGCACATGAATTTTTAGGTCAGTATTCTATACTCAGACCGTTTAATTAACCGTTGCTCCACCTGTTTTTCCTGTTTTTGTATTCTAGTTTTTATACTAATTCTGTTTGCTATCCGGTGTGGACCAGAGGAGGATGGCTTCCCCTTTTGAGTCTTGGTTCCTCTCAAGGTTTCTTCCTCTTGCTCTTAGGGAGGTTTTCCTTGCCACTGTCACCTTTGGCGACACTCATGGGGGCTCGGACCTAGATTTTTCTGTAAAGCTGCTTTGTGACGACACCCGTTGTGGAAAAACTTGACTATTCAAATTTTACCAGCCACTTTTTTGGAGTCTAATCCCTTCCACTGAAACTTGTGTTCAGACCACACAGACTTGTGGACTCTCAGCGAAACTGTGGGCCAGCTGTGTTTTTATTTCATTGTTACTTAACTACAGGCCAGTGTTTATTCAAAACATGCCAAAACTGCAACAGCAAAATAGGAATTGAATGATTATTCAAAAATAATTCTAAATAAAAATACATTGTTTTCGGTAGGTTTTTTTTTTTATAACTGCCTATTTGCTTGAACTGGACACCTGGCATCTTTTCTTTTTCTGTAACCACTGACCTGTAGATTGTTGTTGGGGTCAGAATGTGCAATATGTCGCAGTGCATGCTAGGCACTGTAGTACAGCTCAGGGTAAAACAGACTAATAAGAATAGAAAATTAAAATAAATTCACAGGCCAAATAGGACTGTGTCACAGGCGTTGTGTTTGACTCATGGGTTTTAAGGGGAACTGGAGTTTTCCGCTTTGCTGTTGCTTTTAAAAGCAGTATTTGAAGAGAGGACTGCAACTGCGGAGCCATACCAACAGCTTTGGGGGGTGCAGTGTGTGTGATCAGCTGGGCTTCAGTGGTACAATAGTTCAAACAGGAAAATACTTCAATGGCATTAAAAGAATGAGTAGTTTATCACATTAATGTGTTGTTATTGCGCCAACTTGGATACCTTTACCAAAAACATAAACACGTACAAGCTCTTGCACGTGCCTCTGCACTTTCACTCCATCTTTCTGTTCTCAATTCACTCTCTCTTCCTCTCTCGTGTTTGTTATAAGATTGGATTTTGGCTGCAGGTTTGGGAGAGTTGTGGTGTGCTATAAATACTGATGACGAATACCCACAGCTCATATTTTACCTTACAAAGACAGCAGTCACTCTGAGACAGAGTAACGGAGAACAAGCTAAAAATGAAGTCATATTGGTGGGTTAGATAGCGGAAGGCATGAGGAGGTTATCAGATGTTAGGGTAGAGCAGTAATTCAGCAAAAAATCTAATTTACGCTCCTTTTCCCAATGTAGTTGGTCAGCCAAGGCGCAAACATTTGGTGTCTGAAATTTGCTTCTTTCTACAAGCTCATACCAGCATCGTGCAGAACGCCTGCCTAAATCACGCTTGGTTCAAACCATGTCAATAGGCTTTGTTCATACTGCAGGTAAAAGTGGCCCAAATCTGATCTTTTTCTTCATATGTGACGCAGATGTGTCGTCTGTGTGTCAGTGTGAACAGATAAACACACTGAATCTGACATTTGAGACTCTCATAAAACATAAACGTACGTAAACATAGCCATAGAGTCGCTGATGTGGTTTGTCATGCTTTATGAGAGACAGTTATTAATAACAATGGGCAAATGTAGGCTAAAAACACTGATTTCTTTACAAAGAGAGCATAATTGCATTTGGTGTATCATAGTATGTGAAATGTTGGAGAAAAATCATTGCACTCATATTTTTCCATAATACAAAAAAACACTGTAAGGAAAACCCCTCATTCTAAGAAATAGAACTAACCATATGTTCCTTTTTTCTTCTTTCTTCTTTCTGTAGATAACGGGTTCATTCCAGATACACTGCTTGAGGACGTTATGAAGGCTTTGGATCTCGTCTCCGAGCCCGAGTAGTAAGTTTGTGTGTGCATGTGTGTAATGTTTTCACTGATAACACAAGTAGGATGTGTGTGTGTGTGTGTGTGTGTGTGTGTGTGTGTGTGTGTGTGTGTGTGTGTGTGTGTGTGTGTGGTCAGGATGTAGCTACAGTGTGTGTGGAACACCTGCACTTCCCCTCTCGCTCTCTCTCTCGCACTCTCTCTCGCACTCTCTCTCTCCCCCTCTCCTCTCCCCCCCTCCTCTCCCCCCCCCCTCCTCCTCTCCCCCCCCTCCTCTCCCCCCTCTCTCTCCCCCTCCTCCTCTCCCCCCCTCTCTCTCCCCCCCTCTCTCTCCCCCTCTCACTCTGTCTCTCTCTCTCTCTCTCTCTCACTCTGTCTCTGGGTCGCCCACTGACTTTGACTTTGGTTCACATTTCACTTGGTCAGTCTTCTGGACCGTGTTGACCAGAGCAAGGAGGAGAGAAAACACCCCTTCTTTCATCTCCGCTCTATTAAAGTAATACAGAAGGTCCAGAAGGGTCAGGAGTCCAGAGTCAGATCTTCAGAGCAGACCTCACCTCTGAAACAGGAACTCCAGAGCTCACTAGGGGCTCTTTGAAACTCTCACCTGTTAAACAGCTCCATTCTGACTTGAGCTTTTAATGGGCAAAGCCGCAAGGATTAGGGGTGGGTTTGGTTACATGAATAGATGGGTATTTCTTTAATCGATCCATTCTGATTTACATTAATCAGGAAAGGAAAAGGTACAGTTATTAGTTTGTTAATAATTAACATTACAAAACATTACACATTCAAACATAATTAAAACCCATGTAACCTAAATAATTTGCTGTTTTATTTGTGCTTTTAAATTAATAATGCAGACAGTGCTTCAAAGGTGATATTCTACAGCTTATTCTATAATTTTACATATTAAAAGTTGCAAAATTCTGAAAAGGTCATGGTTCTTCATGGTTTCCCAAAGGCATCTCAAGCAGAATTTCACAGTCCCTCTGTTTAAACAGTGGATTAATTTTAAACACTTTGTGTTTTATATTATATCGTAAAGCACGTGGATGTGGCTTTGGCCACATTAGCTAGTGTTTGTCATTTAGAGAAGAAACAGCCATTAAACTCAGCAGGATCAAACGAACGCACTTGTCTACAGTAACAGCTTTTAAAACAAGAGGTAAGAAGTTTATTACAAAAAAGATATGGAGTTTCTCAGTATTATTTATGTGATTTCCATTGAAGAATGTCATACAGTTTGTTGAAAAGCATTTAAATTAAAGGCCGTATTAAACATAGCTGAAGCACTGTTTATCTGCTGTAGCTCAAACTGTTTGAACCCATTTGCAGGAGAGCAAAGAAAAGGCAAGGCAAGTTTATTTGTACAGCTCCTACATTGTGGTCATACAAAGTGCTTTACAAATGATGAAATGCATAATAATTCAAATTATGGTTTAAAAAGTAACAAATCAAAGAGATTAGAAATTAGAAATTCAAAACAATGTCATAATTATTATTTATTATTTAAATTGTATTTTTGGGGGCTTCGTTGTAGACCTGTTTAATCTTTTGCTTTTTTCTCTTTGAGACTTTTTTGTCGAAAGGCACATTAATGAAAATAACCTACCTTATTTTCTAAAATATATTTACCAGAAAAAAAGGAGGACTTTTTTCACAAGCATAGCGACAGATCTTTTGCAGTGGTCTTGAAAAGACTATTTTAAATATTCCAGTGTAAAAATGACAAAAACAAGAAACTAATTATTTTCCCCTGATGATAAAGCAGCACTAAATTAATTAGTTTGTGTGGTCAGTTACAACGTAAGCAAACCTGGCATTGCCGATCACACAGAGACAGTCACGCATAACAGTCAGAGTCAGTTTTGTGTGAAGTGTTCGGATATTTTTGGGTTTTTTGAGTCCTGCACTACAGTTTCCACTATCTGTACTTTCTTTTGATGAAATTATGTGACATTAAATAAGATACGTAAGCTGTGTCAAGCTAGCTGATCAATAACAACATTCATCGACAAGTGTTTTTTACTATAAACATCATTGATTTAATTGGTTAGTTGATGCCGCTGCAATCTAAACTCACTGTAGTGTTTGCTTAACCTCTTACATTTCCGGCATTATTACATCTCTAGGCTTGTTACATAGCAACTACATGGAAAACTGCGAAGTAGGGTATTTAAGGGGTTTTATACGCTGGGCTAGGCTCCAGCATCCCCTGCGACCCACAGAGATAAGCGGTGTAGAAAATGTGTGTGTGTGTGTGTATATGTGTGTGTATGTGTGTCTGTGTGTGTGTTCTTGTATTGCTATACTTGTGAGGACCCCATGTAGGATTGGACTATATGAAATTTTTGCTGAGGTGAGGTTGTTTTGCTGGTGCTCACTTGAGCATGTGTTGTTTTCACCACAATTACTTTTTTATTTGTAAACTAAAAGAGCAGAGAATTTGCCTTTTGGATACTGAGGTTAAGGTTAGGGTTAGGTTTAAGTTTAGGTGTAATATTATTTAGCTACAGTAACACAAAAATCAATAGAGACCTAAGGACGTCCTCATATGTATAGCAAGACAAACGTCTGTGTGTGTGTACTTCTAAATAATTGATTATTATAATTGATTAAAAATACCCAGCTGTGATATGTAAATTATTTTTAAATTGTATTATTGACGTCAGGACAGCTTTTAAAGCAGATTTTATGCGAGAAAATAAAGGTTGTTTAGTGAACAGCTGTACTGCAACATCATTCAAGTGTCTAAAAATTCCTCTGCGGTTTTGTTCCAAATATGCACATAATAATCAACGTTCTGGCACGATTAATTACCATGAAAACATAAGTGATGAAATAACCTGTGAGAGCGTGAGAGTGGCTGTATCTGCCCTGATTGCTAAGGTTATCATCTGTCTGAGTGTGTGTTGTTCAGGGAGGCTGGAGGCTCTTGCTCCCTTAAAAAGGAAAAGTCTGTTCATTTGTAAATCGGCCAGCTTGTTTCAAAGTAATAATAGTGAAATTCCAGGCATTACTCATGGTTATATTTAGCTTCAGAGCTTGCTATTCCTGAGCATCATAACTCCTCATCACAGTTTAGTATGTCAAGTCTAAGGAAATTTAACATGAAAACAAACACTATACAGCTTTTATATGCACACTCACTATACATATACACACACACACACCGATCAGGCATAACATTATGACCACCTCCTTGTTTCTACGCTCATTGTCCGTTTTAGACAGTCCTACCTTGTCAGTCCACCTTATAGATGTAAAGTCAGAGACGATAGCTCATCTGCTGCTGCACAGTTTGTGTTGGTCATCCTCTAGTCCTTCATCAGTGGTCACAGGACGCTGCCCACAGGACACTGTTGGCTGGATATTTTTGGTTGGTGGACTATTCTCAGTCCAGCAGCGACACTGAGGTGTTTAAAAACTCCAGCAGCACTGCTGTGTCTGATCCACTCAGACCAGCGCAACACACAATAACACACCACCTGTTACTGCAGTGCTGAGAATGATCCACCACCCAAATAGTACCTGCTCTGTGAGGGTCCATGGGGGTCCTGACTACTGAAGAACAGGGTAAAAGGGGGCTAACAAAGTATGCAGAGAAACAGATGGACTACAGTCTGTAACTGTAGAACTACAAAGTGCACCTATATAGTAAGTGGAGCTGATAAAATGGACAATGAGCGTAGAAACAAGGAGGTGGTCAGAATGTTATGCCTGATCTGTGTATGTGTATATATACACTCACTATGCCTGTGATGAACTAATGGAAACATATGTCAACCAATAGACTTATTTTCTCTTAAAATTACTGAAATTCTCAAACTTTAATTTTTCTCGGTCTCAATACGTTAAACCAGCAGGCCAGATACTGTACTGGCTTTAATTTCACACAAATGAAGCTGAGCTTTACAGGGCAGCTTATTCACAGAGCTGTTCCATCTCTCCTCTCCCTCTACTGTGACTGCTTGTCTGAGCTGCCTAGTTTATTGGGCAGTCTATTTCTATATCTGCCAGAAAATAAAAGCTTCAGAAAACCAAAAAGTCTTGCTGTTGTAAGGCCGTTTACAGTGCCTTAACTATACAACTGTTAATCACTGTGCAATCTAGTTAATGATCATCAATTTGCGTCCTTAATATTATTGATTTTTAACATTTGTAGTCAAGTTGCCCATCCCTTAACTAATAAAAAGGTATGCTGTAATCCCTCTTATTCAGAGAAGTACCTAATCACTGTCTCCTGCTTTTTCAAAACAGTGTAAATCTGATGAAGAGCAAGTTGGATCCTGAGGGTCTAGGAATCGTTCTGTTGGGTCCATTCCTGCTCGAGTTCTTCCCCGATCAGGTAACATACCATACCTGCAATATCACAAGCCACATGCTGTCCATCATACAGGTTGTGCATGTATATGATCCAATTAGAGTTGTGACCAACGCTGCTTTAAGAAGCTGAAAATTTACATGCCAGCTGATCAGCCAGTAATTAGTTAATATGACAGAAATCTGAGAAATTAACAGATTTGCATAGTTTTAGTTAAAAAGTGCTTTACTGACTGATTTAACTGTCAGCTCTGAATTGTCAGATGGCAAAAGAAAATTAATTGTTTAGGGTTTATAATTCAGAACCTCCAGTGCAGATTTTGAGACAGTCAATATCAGTTGTATAATCTTTATTTTTATATTCATTTAACTTAATTTAGTGATTCTTCTTTAAAGTTGAGCATTAATTCTGATCATGTCTTAAAAAGAGTCTCAATAAAGGTTGTCGTTTTTGAGAGGATTAAAAAAATGCAAAGTAAGAAGTGATCTACTGGTTAGATGTTATTTGTCACTCACTGAGTGTTCTTACATCATTTAGTACAGTTTGATATGAAAATAAAGATGCAAATTTGCGGTAAATTATGAGGTATTGTTGGTAAATCTTCAAAGATATTAGGAATACCTCTTTGTTAATGTTCACCAGGGTATAATTTACATGACCAAATCGTAAGGCAAATTATTCAGTAACTGCATGAAAGAAATGTTTTTATTTTATTTATTTATTATTGTTTTTGTAAAAGCTCCCCTCAAATTAACAGAACATGTGTTTTATGATCATAAACATATTGATATATGCTTACAATTTACTGCTGAAAGCCAAAAATCTTAGATGCTCTATGTATTTTTTATAGAGCAGAAGAGACGCCATCTGTTTATAGTTTATAGCCCAGATTTGTGGAAAAATGGGTCGACCTTCAGTAGATAAAAACAGTTGTGAGTTCAGCTTCTTTTATTAAATTACATTACCCTATCTATTTGAGTGGAAAGAAGACAGTTACAGCTCTCATACGACCCCCACCTTCTGAATGTAGCTTATGAAATATGAAAGTTATGAAGAATATGACGACGTGCGTTTTGGAACCACCGGTGGTCCCGAGGAGTTGAAAAGGTTAAACTGACTCTTTTTACACTCAGCACACCCTTAAGCAAGCAAAGAAAATAATTACATATTTCGTCACCAGTTTTTGTATTTCTCATTTATCAAAAACCCAACTTTCTCCAAGCATGAAAACTCTTTTTATTGATATTTAGACATTTTCAAGTTTGACAGAAAAGGGGTAGATGGAAAACCCACTAGTTGGAGCTTATCAGTTTCTATAAAGACTGGCACATGAGCATGAAACGATCACATCCTCTGAAGCGCGTGTTCTTTACAAGTTATCCCATTAGTTATTGGTGGGACTTTTGCCGATAAATGCATGGGGTCTCAGTACCAACCAATATTGTAAGTGACCTGATAAATCGGTCAGGTTTTAGAAAAAGTCTGCCTCTTATTTTATTCTTTCTTTCTCTCTCTCTTTTTATTGGCGTGCCTTCTACGGGCCAAGCCTTTGAAAATAATTGAGGTGATAACAGTAATAGCAACCTGAAACTGAATAAACACGAAGGTAATAAAAGTGTAATGTGACTCTCACCTCTATGCTTCTCTCCTTCTGTTCTTTTAGCCCTGCGCCTCTCTGCTCTAATGAGTTGGGGGAAAAGAGAGCAGGATTGAGGGTTAGAGTTGGCATGGAGTTGCAGCTTCTCTGACTGTGTGTTAAATAGATTAGGGCTTTAGGGATCCTCGCTGAAAAGCCTCCATTTACCATCAAATCAAACATGCTAACCCCGTTGCAGGCTTACACGCATACACACCACTGCTGTTGTAGGTCTGCCAGTGTGTGGTACAGAGCTAGACGGTGGTATTTGGCTGCTGTCAGGAGAATGTGTTTGGGTCTCGGTGAAGCTTAAAGCTGGGCTGCAGGACTTTTGGCACGCTGGACTCATTCCCTGCCTTTCGGCAGCCGCAGCCAGGGAGTTTCATGATTGTTTGGCTTGGCCGTTGTGCCCCAATGAGTTGTCAGCGCAAAATATCTATTATGTCAAAGACGTTTTTACAGACAAAGGCTTCAAGTTCTTGCGTCGCTTTTCATGTTACATGAGCAGCAGGGTTTTATGTGCGTTTTGATTAGCCTGAGCCAAACTGAGATGTTTAAGCGTTTTCTTAAGCAAAAAAAAACATGCATGTTCTCTACATCAACATTTTGGAGTGACGTAGAGTCTGAATGATGCCGTATTGCGCCAGTTCTCTGTCCTAACAGTGGAGCCTCTCTTCACTCTGTTCTGATATACACATTATTCATAGGTTAAATGCTTGAAAATGAGCTGGTGTTAGGTTGTTAAAGAAAGGAAGATCAGTGTAGAGGGAAGGGGACTGAGAATGGTAGGGGTAGGGATGTTTTGGTTGTTTCAGTAAAAAGAAATAACCTGGAGGTCCTGTACTGGTTTGTTGTTTAGGGCACAGACATTAGGGATGTTTTCAGAAAATCCATACAGCAATAAGCTTAAGGTGATTACAGCATCCAGCATATGGTCAATCTGTTCTTTAATGGTTAGGATTTTACTTTTTAATTTGATATTTGTATAAAAAGATGCGTTGAGTAGAAAATGTTGAGTATCTTTTACTAACTGTCACTTGATCTAGTTCTGTACTTAGTTTCCCTTTAGCAGATGTAATTTAGTTTGGGCTGCAGGGCGTTAGTCGTTTGTAGACTACTGTGATTAGTGACTAGTATTTATGTTGCGTGTTTCTAGAGCTGCTTCATGTTTTAGTGCTGTGATGAAAAGCGTAGAAACTCTTTTGCCTTGCATTTAAAGCGTGTCAAACACAAGGCCCGCAGGCCAGATCAGGCCCACCACACAATCCCATCCGACCCACAGAAGTGTTTTAATTTTCTATTAATATTAGCCCGTTTCACAATGTGCTGCACTACAGTCCCCAGCATGCACTGCAACATAATGTGTGCTCTGATTCTCCTACCAGTCTATGGGACAGCGAATACACCTCAGTTCTACACAATTCTACACCTGTCATATCACCAAACACACTAGCCGCATTTCAGCTGCAGTTCAACAAAAACGCCAGGTCAGCAGCTCAGAAACTGAGCCCAAGTATATTAATGATCTTGCAGCAAAGAAAGGATGCCAGGTGTGTATGTCAAGCACATAGGTAGGTTTAAAAGACCGAGCTCATGTGGACATTAGAGTTTTGAATATTTCAAGTGTTCATGTAATATTTCAAGGTCTATTACAAGTGCCCATATTTTACTTTAGTTTTTGCATATTTTCGGGTTAGTTCCGTTCGGGTTACAGCACAACACTAATTAAAAATGAATTAAAAACATTTTTTCTCTGGCTCACAGATTTATTAAGATTTTTTTATATGGCCCCTTTGGTGGTATTCAACACCTTGAGACCACCGGTGGTTCCAAAACGCACTTCGTCATATTCTTCATAACTTTCATATTTCATAAGCTACATTCTAAAGGTGGGGGTCGTATTAGAGCTGTAACTGTCTTCTTTCCAGTCAAATAGATGGGTGATGTAATTTTAAACCCTTATAATAAAAGAAGCTGAACTCACAATTTTTTTTTCTACTGAAAGTCGACCCATTTTTCCACAAATCTGGGCTATAAACTATAAACAGATGGCGTCTCTTCAGTGATCTGCTCCGTACAAATTATTTTTATAGAATAATACAAAGAGCGGCTAAGATTTTTGGCTTTCAGCAGTAAATTGTAAGCATATAGAGATATGTTTATGATCATAAAACACATTTTCTGTTAATTTGAGGGGAGCTTTTACAAAAAAAAAAGTTACATTTATTTCATGCAGTTACTGAATAGTTTGCCTTACGATTTGGTCATGATGATTTGGTCATGATTGGGTCATGTAAATTCAGATGGAAACTGAAAACTAAACATTTAGTGCATTTATCAGGTTTGATATCAGCTAACCAGCTCTTTATAAAGAGTTTTCAAGCTGAAAAGTATGAAGTTAAATAAAAGGTGGCTTTGCTGATGAAAACAGACAGAATGTATATTTTTATCTTAATGACCTTAATGACCTCGAATGCCGTTCGTGGTTTAATTTCAAGCCACATCACCCACTATGGATTTGTGGTTTGGGTCTGAGATTAATATGGTACAGCAATAGTGAGATGCTGAGTATCGTCACTGCCTTCTGATGCGTCCAATGCCCATTAGCCTGTAACCTGAATATACCTATCCCCGTTTTTTTTCGTTTTTATTTCAGGGCTGCGGGTTGGGGGGTGTACTATTGACGAAAATGCCCATCCCTAAATGGTATCAAAATAATTGGATTGATTAGCATTAGAATGTATGACATAACTTCCTAAGTAATTGAATAAAAAAAAACGTAGGGTCTGAGATTTACACCCCTGCTGCACGCAGTTACCCCCCCAAAGTAGTGAGACGCGTGCACACACACAAACTCACATCTCCTCTTGCCTTTGCAGGACTCAGGGGATTCCAGACTCATTTCCTGTGTATCACTATAATGGCCTAAAGCAGTCCAACCACAACGAAAAGGTAACACACACCCTCACCCATGCAATGCCCATACACACTTATTCAGACAGCCTTTTTTTCCGTGCACTAAGCAGGCGGGCACTAGCCAGTTAGCCTTATCCTGTCTGATCCCCTGCATGTCGAGTGGTCTGAATGTGATTACTGACTTGACGTCTGTGCGTCCGCCTCAGACCCATTTCATCAGCCCCCTCACTCCACCGCTACTCTCTGTAGACTTGTATCCTCATGGTCAGTCATCTGTCTCTAGTTAGCTCCACATTAAAAGGAAGCCCACTGCTTTGAAGGTCCTCACCGAGACACCTTAATTATCAAATGATAATAAGTAGTCCCAGGAACCTACATTCGTCTAAAGAGAAGTTCAAATAAGAAGGACTAGGGATGTCCAGATCAGATCTTTTGGCATGTTTTAGTGGACCAAGTATCAACTATCTTAAAGGCTAAGCAACAGCTAATATGAAAATATGTCACATAAGCATATCAATAGATCAAAGGATGAGTTCCTAACTAAGTGAAAAATTGGTGGTGGAGAATTCCATGCAGAAACTTTGGACAGTAAAATGACAAAAATAAATGTAGATAAACACAGAAATGCCTCATAAGGAGAAGTTCGAAATAGCCAAACTGAAGTTTGATCTTTACGTATGCTGGCTAATGATCACATAACTTCACTTCACTTGATTTTCGCTTTATTTTATCCTAGGTTTTCAGTCACGTTCATGTTTCTGTTGTGGTCATCATATTTGGGACTGAATTTCTGGCTTCAGTGCTCTACATGAACATAACTAGAGGTGAAAGATGGCCAAAATCACTCGTTACTTCGACAAAGTCGATAAAATAGTCTGTGATCCTTAAACAGTTTCCCCCTGAACTCCTGATCCCACTTAAACTGGCGGAAAAGCTACCAAATTTGTGTTTTCCTGACATTTATATTTATCTCATACTCAGCCCCTCTCCCTGTTCTGGAGTCTCTCGGAGCATTTAAAAGCACAGAAGCCCACCGGCTCTTCACGTCAGGGTGGGTAAAGGATCCCATGGTGTTGCATAAAGAGGAGAAACACTCTGTGATCATAGGAGGAACAACATCAACTGATTAACACAGATGTGATCAATGCTGGCCTTTAGATAACTTTAGCTGATGTTAACAGCCGAGAGATAAACAGTCGTCCCCCTAACGGAGCTGCAGACAGCCGGGATAACTTTACTCTCTGTTTCTGGAGATTTAAATGACATTTAAATGGAGAAACATAAACGTTAAATATCAGACTGAATGTTGTGGGTCAGAAAACGACGTCGTGTTTCGACAGACGTGATTCTGTAAGTTTGCTAGTTCAGTTAGTGCAGAGTTCAGCTCCAGTCCTGAAACCCCTGCACTGCATAGCTGTGGTTTCCTGGTTAAAATACCTGATATTATTAGCTAATTAATCCCTTCTTGAGCTGAACGAGGTGAACAGCAGAGAGAAACACTGAACTATACAGTTCAGGGGCTCCAAGCCTGGAGTCTGAAAACACTGAATTAAAGATCTTGTCTTTCTCAGCTTTTGTTGCGTCTTGCAGGTGAATCATTCACAAAGCACATTGTGCAGCACAGTCACTCCGTGATTCGGTCCTCAAATTGGGGCCAACTATACAGTGTGATGTCACGTAAAATGCGAGATTAGCTAGTAGGAGTGAATTTGAGCGATTTCAAACCATATTTGTTAGATCATAAATACCATTTCTTAGTCTAATACTGTGACACATTTAACTAGCTGGATTAAGATTAAAAGGTTATTTGGTAAAATCCAGCCTAATGTCTTTTTCTTCTTTTAGGTAGACATAAGTAAAGGGTTAGAGCACTTGATAGACTTAATGTAGCAAGGAAAATTTTGTTCATGGTTTGGTCCAGGAGGTGTTGTTTTTGTAACTATGTGAAGAGATTTGAAACATTGCTTGTTAACAGTTTTAGATGGGGAAAAACTGTACACTGAGCAAATCAGGGTTAAAAAAATAATTGGAACATCCCTTAACAGGGCCAAATTCAAGAAGTAGCTTTAATCAAGCTTCATTTCTGAGATCATGTCGTTTCAGTTAGGCTGTCAGAAGCTACTTTGCAGAAATGTAGCTAAATTAGTAGCCTAGCAACTTGTAACTCACCAACTCCCCAACACTGGTAGTTGTATAATCATTTTAGCCTTTAATTGAGGGTGGATGTACTAAAAGGTTTTAAAAATCATTCTTGGAGCTGCTCTAAAATCATTCTGTCTTCTAATTCATATCCTTAATTGAAATCCATTCGTCAGATGTCATGTTTTGCTTTTTTTCTTTTATATGTTCATCGTTTGCAGAGTGTGCAAGCTGGCTGGGATTTTCATCTTGTGTGTCTTTTTACTGTCACCGGTAGCTGAGTGTTTTCCCCCGACCCAGCGCGGAGAGCCATTTCCCATTTTCCACTTTCCACTCCCGTCCCTATAAAGAGCCTAATGGCATTAACACATGCCAGCCAACTCGTGCACACACACACTGCCTGCCTGATATCCATTTATCTGCATGTGAGAGAGCATGAGCGAGCGACCTTTGCCTTCCAGAGGAAGTGTGAGAGATTGACAGACCTTCAGCGCTAATAGGAAAGGACAGCGTTCAGTCAGAGTGTGTGTGTGTGTGTGAGGAAATGTGTACACACACCGGCACATGGGGTCCTTCTTTCCCCTGGCAAGTGCATTAAGAGCAGCAGTGAAGCAGTCAGCCTTTGTTGTGGAGGCTTCCGCTGTGCCAGGCTTTTACTGTGAAGTCTGAACTTTTTTTTTTAACTGGTTTCCTAGGAGGCTGTGCTCAAACGAACATCCAAAGAGCAGGTCACCTTTCTGCACAAGCCATTTAAATCAGCCAAAGATGCTGCGGCCTGGTTCTAATTCCCATTTTGGCTATACTTCTCATAAAAATTGGAATCAGGATTTGTCTCTCTTGTGAGTCTGTCCTGAGGCATGTGCTATTTTAGCTATTTTACATTGTGCCACTGCCATCTGCCATTTGTAGGAGAAGAATTTGTTCTGTGAATATTTTTTTTTAAGGTTATATATTATATTATATTATTATATGTCGCTGTTGTCAGAAGAAAACCTTGTATCTCCAAAGTGGTAACTTTACAGGAGAAGGAAAAGTCGGTAACACTTTCTATTAATGTCACCTTTGTAAGCATCTATAAACACATTCATAACATGTTATAATGCATTCATAAGGCATCATAAACATGGCTATAAATATTTATAAAAATGCATTACATGTTATAGCCATGCTTACTATGCGTTATGAATTGTTAACATAATACATTATAAGTACTGCTCATAACAAATTATAAGAGCTCATAAGTGGTATTTATCCGCTCTAAGTAAAGTGAAGCGTACTGTACTAAAGCCTCCTCTAGTGTTAAGAGTGAGACTTCAAGTTGAAGTATTTACTGAAGGATTTACTGAAACACTAAAACATACACAGTAAAGCACATTACAGGCCTCAAATGTCAGAGTTTAAACTAGAGCTGCCATCAGTGTTTTACCCAATGTGGGAAATGTAATGTACACCACCGTTAGCTTGGTATTTGTCTTTACTTTACACTCTCCAAGCTGGGACTGACTTCTTTGGCACTGACAGTATAACATGTTATCAACACTACTTATAATGCATTATATTAACACTTTATAATGTATGATAAACATGACTATAAGGTGTAATCTAGTGTAATTCATTTTTATGTTTATAATCATTATAATAAAAAAATTAACATTCAGCCACTTTTCTTAATACTTATTAATGCTTCATCTGTCTTGCTTTTCAGCCCATTGAATGAACAATAAGACATAAGCAATTTTTTTATAAATAAAAAATAAATAAATTAATTAAATTAGTCCAGAATCTTAGCCAGCAAAGAACACTACAACTGATTAGTCAAGCAGTTGAGTAGAGGTATAGTATTTAATTCAGTAAAAATGGTGTTGATGATCCCTGGAACCATAGATTATCATATCATCTTCAGTCTAAAATATTCTCTCAGCATGCTGTGACCTTCATCACCTTCACAGCTATCATTACCTGTAATTGGTTATTTGGCCACTGCATATACAGGGTGATTCAAAAACATTCATCCAATTTGAAAATGATTTATTTCACTTGTAAATCATTACAGATCAATGCAGTAAACTGTAAATGGTTTAATTGAGCATAAAGTTTATGTAATTGTACAAGGTCTCAGTATGAACCTCCTCCAGCTGTACGGACAACATCAACACCATAGTCAGATTCATCCCGTACTCGATTGAGTATGTCGGGTCTCACTGCACTCACGGCTCTTTCAGTGCGATTTTGGAGATCATCCAGTGTTGTGAAACCAACGCCGAACGCTCTGAGCTGTTGGAGCTTCACTGCCCACGAAAATCACGTTGCACAGTTATGACGGATTCACTCTTATTGAAGTGGAGAACTCCAAACGCTTTCTCCTCAGGGGTTTCCATCTCCTCTCAGACTGAAGGGAGCCATCTTCCGGTGACAGTGAGAAACTCTATGACCACCCCCCTTCAATTGGTGTGTGATTGGTTCCTAGACGACTCACGGTTGTAAAAATATGGCGCTTCGAAATCGGATTAATCTTTTTGAACCACCCTGTATAAAAGATCCTCTCTGACACATTACAGACAGTGGTGTCATTGTGTTTCCAGACCAACCAGTATGTTACTTGGAGGATAGAGCTGGAGCCAAAGACACAGCTTGGCCAAATGTGACTCTGTCCAGCAGCTATCTACACAATGCATAAAGCCCTGCAGTGCGTGAAATCACACCCATGGCGATACTTGTATCTTTTTAAAGAAACATACGTGCACCGTTGACATGTTTTAACAGAAAACAGTGTTGGCAACAAGGAGCATATCCCATATCCATGCAGTTAGCTGGCAGCCATGATCGACAGCCCCCTTCGGACAGGAAACAGGCTCAGACAGGCAGAGGAAATGCCTTTTTACTGTTCTTTCCAGTTGGACTCTTGACACTTGTGGTAATGTCTCTGAAGCTTAAGAAGCAGGATGTTTTAAAAGGAGACAACACTGACTGCAACATTGACATCTGTCAGAAATTGCATTTCTCAAATGAGTGCGATTTCAGTCTAAAATGAAGTAATGCATGCCAGGAATACAAATCATGGTCATGTCATAAAAACAATAAATGCCAGTTTATTAGCTACACCTCCCTACCTTATTCAGCCATTGATGGAAAAGGGCATCATATTAGAAATGGGTGTTTCTGTCAAATTTAATATTTGAATTATTACACTCAGCATTTTATGACTGCTGTACTATATTAAACCCACACCCAGACCACAAATCTGTAGTAGGTGACGTAGAAGTTTACCCTGAGAAAAAGCTCTCAATATTTACTGTATTTTGTTACTAAAACACTTGAGGAAAACATGAATTTAAAAGTAGTATAAAAATACAATTGTTCTCTCAAAAGTTGGCCCACAGGCCACGTTTTAGGCATCCCTGATCCAAATTCTTTATGATAAACAGGCAACAGCTAGTCGTCTGTTAATTCAGTTAGAATTCTAGCTTAGTCATGTTGGTCCTCATTCATTAAAATTGTGTAGGGTCAAATTTCACCAACAGTTTTGTTATTTATCGTTTTCGTTTATGGCTAATATCTACAGTCAAATTCACGTCTGGTAGAAGTGCATATGCTGATAAAAAGCAAGTGTAGGTACAAGGTAGGTGTTTCTAGCTACCTTGTTAATAGTGAGCTACTCTCAGTGCTGTGCTTTTCAAAGCTGACCCGAATCTGAAAGGAAGAAATTGGTTGGACCTCATCTTCAAAGAAGTGTGTGCTGATTCTTATGTTGTTGAATCTGTATAGCAGGTGTCTGCAGCTTCTGTCCAAGAGAGCTCCTCTTTCTTGTAGTTTTTCATGGGCAGTTAATCCAAACGTGGGAAAGCAGATGAAGACACTCACGGTCAATGGCAAAAGCAGCTAACTCTCTGCACATAGCAGGAAGGGGTTGAGGAGAGGTTAGCTGGCCACCGTGAAGAAGTATGACGCGACAGAGTCCTGCAACTATGCGATCAGCTGCCTGGTGATTTGGATCGAGACAGTTATCCTGTCAACATCGGCGCTGTTGAGGTTCAATCTAGCCAAATGTCTGAGTGCCATTGTAAAGCTGGCTGCACATACACTGAACAGTAGAGGGAGCAGTGTGGAATTAAAGCCACACTCAAGCTGACTTGGAGGATCCTTGGGCACTTGTACCCAAACGCATTCTGCATGGAATGTGTGCTTTCCCTCAGTATGTTAGTAATTACGCTGTTAGTGGAGTGCGTTTGCTGTCTGTTCTGTGAAACTAAATAGGTAAGAATGCAGTGTAATTGAGATTGTTCCCAGTTGAGCAGAGTTTGGATGAGTCCTTGATGAGACTTTTGATTGGATGTGTGTAAATACTTGTTTTTGGATGTTTTCAGGACACAAATGACCAAAGAGGCAAACAGTGTCAGGAGCAGCAAAGTGTGCTTTTTACAGAAGATCCATGTTTTGTGTTTTTGAACTGAAAAGGTAAAACCATAAAATCATTTCTGTGTAATTATTGAGGTTAAGGTTAGTTAGGCATAGAGTTAAGATGAGAAAATTCTCATTAGATGTAGGTAGTTACACGAATAAAACCTTTATCAGACATAATATAATTACATGTTGCTGCCTACATATACAAGACAAAATTCAGACAACACCCTGCATTTATTTCATTTCCAGTCAAAATGGCCATTGAGGGCAAGTTAGTTTATTACATATCCGAGGACAATAGATAGAAGAGAATCTACTTGCATACGGAGGTGGACAGTCAAAGGAATACATATATAAAAATGAGTTTCAATAAATTAGTGTTTTATAAAACCCCAGAACTCACCGTCATATAAACACTACTTAAAACTTTCATGTTTGAGAGCAAAACGAAGCTGCTATGCTTCACATCTCAAAAAGTCCACAGATGTTTCTATCCATCCTCCCACTGTAAGAGGACAACACTATGTCTGAAATGATGGCTGCTACTGCAAAAAGAAATAGATAAATAAGAAGAAAACTTGCAGATCGATCAAAGAAGGTGCTGGTGTTCTCAAAGCTATGGACTGGCAACCCCAGAGTCAGACCTCAGCATCACTGAATGTATTTAGGATTAGTTGGATTGCAGAAATCAGAAAATGCAACCAACTTTGAAGACTGAGCTTTAAAGATGTGGGAAAATATCCCTGCAGATATCTTTGACAAACTGATCGCTGGTCTCCCGAAAAGAATGGAAGATGTAGTAAAGGCAAAGAGTGGACAGAGAATGCTTAAAAATATTATATTTAATAGTTGAGGTTTCTGTGTAATTTTCTGTAAGTTATGTTTCATTCTTTTTTCTCCTTATGCGGACAAAATGAATAACCTAATGGCCATTTTATTTGAATAAACAAAGAGTGTTCTCTCATTTTTGCACAGCACTGTGTATATAATACATGTGGGACATATATGTGACCCCATGTCCTGACATTGCATAAAAACATGTCTCTCTGTGTGTGCGTCTTGGGGCGTTTTAGCATTCAGCGTTTCAGACAGCGATGAGTGGGTCCTGGATTTAACAGTCTACATGGGTCAATGCACCTCTCATCACAGTCAGTGCGGACACCCACAACCACTTTGGTCAGCCCTGACCGTGACATTCTGAGGCAACAGACACACACACACATTCTTCACGGCGCGACGTGTAGGACAGGTTACACATACATATGGTCCTCATGATGTTGCTTGTAAGGTATTTTGTGAATGCACGTGCACTGGTACACATAAATATTCTCATATGTTTTTAATCTGCTCAACGTATATCGCACACACATTCATAATGGTTTTCAGTTATAAAGGACCGGTTAATCACACACACACCCCGGCTGCGCTCCCACACATGGTCACCATGGCACAGTATGTAGGCCAGGCTCCACACTGGCAATAAGAGGCCCTCCATATGGAAGCCATCACCAGCTTCAGGTCTGATGATGTCATCGCAGGAGGCCAGGTTGCTAATGAGAGACACACAGAGAAACTACAGCTTGAACACTGTCCTTCCACTGTGTCCTTCATCATCTTCTGCTCAGAGCAGCATCTGTTAGTTGATGCTGTGGTCTCTGTTTAATGTTTAAGGTTCACCATCATTTGTCATTTTCATAATTTTTGTTATTTTTAAGGATGCACCGTATGAAATATGAGATTTCTGGACCAATGCAGGTATCTGACATTGTTCATGCACATACGGTGTCCTCTGAAAGTCCTGGAATGAAAAGGCCAGTTCTTTTGTTTTTCTTGATCAAATCGATCATTTGAATAAATGCTAAGATTTTAGCGTAGTAGCCCAGCATCTCTGAAATCTTACATCATCGAATATTAGCTTGAAAAATCGATCAAGTCTAATCATCTGTCCAACACCAAAGCAATTATCCACTGATATCGTCATGATTTTGATATCATTATGCATCACTTGTTATTTTATATGCAGTAATAACAATGATTATTTAAATAATTTTGTTCTAGTTCTAATATCTAATTAAGTCTATTGTAACATACTCAACATACACCAATCAGGCATAACATTATGACCACCTCCTTGTTTCTATGCTCATTGTCCATTTTATCAGCTCCACTTACTATATAGGTGCACTTTGTAGTTCTACAGTTACAGACTGTAGTCCATCTGTTTCTCTGATACTTTGTTAGCCCCCTTTTACCCTGTTCTTCAGTGGTCAGGACCCTCATGGACCCTCACAGAGCAGGTACTATTTGGGTGGTGGGTCATTCTCAGCACTGCAGTGACACTCATGTGGTGGTGGTGTGTTAGTGTGTGTTGTGTTGGTCTGAGTGGATCAGACACAGCAGTGCTGCTGGAGTTTTTAAACACCTCAGTGTCTTTTCATGCTTGTCACAAAGAAAACGACCATATATCATTGAAATGACATTAAACTAAGATAAAACAGTGGTTATCGTAATTTTTTAACGGAGAAAATCCTCACATTTGTGGGTCTCTTTGGTCTCTTATGCAGCCATGTTGCCGGTTTTTCTTTTTTTTCCTCATAACACTTCATTTGGACTGTTGCCTCTGAAAACCCTCTGTTTGGAGGGCCATGTAGCCCCAACGCTTCGCCCTACCCCTCTATCTCAACAAAAACTGGGACACCCTAACCCTAGACGTGAAAGCGTGTTATTCTGAGTTTTTTGTGTTGGTTTTTTTGGCCTTTGAGAGTTTCATAAGCGGCCATTTGCTGTCCAGACATGCATCAGATATCTCTCTCTCTCTCTTTTTCACATACACTCTCTCTTTCTCTTTCTCCCCCATAGGTGAGTTATGTTGAGGGCACTGCTCTAGTCCTTGGCTTTGAAGACCCCATGGTGCGTACGGACGACACCCCGGTGAAGCGCTGCCTGCAGACCAAATGGCCCTATATCGAGCTGTTGTGGACCACAGAGAGATCCCCTTCCCTCAATTAGCCCGCTCACCTGCTCACCTCTGGCTATCAGGCCCCACTTCGCTTCAGGAATGCTACACCCACCCAGTACTCCCACCTGCACTCTCTGCACTACAATATTAGGCCAGCACAGTGCCTGAACTAAAACCACAAGAGAGACAGTAATACTCAGCTGACCTGTTTGCGCCTTTTCCATCTTTCATGCATTATTTATTTTTTTTTTTAAACAACAGGGTTTTGGTTTAATGTTCAAAGCCCTGACGTGGAACAAAAAATATTATTTTTGGAAATTGTGTTGTTTTCATTAGCAGAACCAAATTTTACTCTTTTTTGCAGCTGTTAATATTTTTCGCTGATTTTCTACAGATAGTTTTTTTTTCCATTTATGTTTGTTTACTTGATTAAAAAGATTAAAAAAGGAAAGGAAAAAAAGGAATTGACGAGGCAAGCCTAACTGAGCTGACCAAATGAGTAATTTATGGAGCTGTGGGTAGATGATTTTTTATTTTGTTGTAGGAATATACAGTTAAAAAAGGGATGCACTGAAGTCACTTGGTTCAAATGTGTACATAATTTCGGCAAGTTTAAATAAATTACGACTTGGTTTCATCGACTTACTTTTGGGATCATCTGTGTTGATGTATTTTATTAATGTATAAATGATAAACACATTGGAATCAAGTACATTTAACACATCACTTTTTTCAGTGTATATTCAGTGATAATTGTGACTAAGGTGTGTTCTGTCCAAAGCCTTGGGCTGAGAGTCTAGTCCCCATGTGTGGCTGACAGCGTTTACGTAACTCAGTGAAAACTGGACAAAACTTTAGACAGGTTTATAAAGGAATGCACTACAACCTAATACAGGGCAGAGGAAGACAGAAGGAGGAGTGGGATACAAAGAGTGAGGGAGGAGAGGCAGTGTTGGTATTTGAGCGTGGACGTGACCAAACGCCCTCTGTTCTGATTTTTTTTTTTTTTTTTTTGTTTTTTTGGCGACAGCAGTAACCTGTTGACACCTATTTATTGTTCTCTGCCTGAGGCAAAAGGACGAACAAACACTTGCACACACTATTTATTCCGACCCTGATGGCTCACCAAAATAAACACAATTTTTTTTTCTTCATGCCTGAATGTGTTTGTCATGATTTTTGCTCTAGTGGTGCTTCTGTGTGGACGGAAAGCTGTTAGCACTGCTATTCCATCAGTGTTTGGCTGGCTTTGTGCGGTGAAACTTAAATGCAACTTTAGTTGTTTGAAACTCAAATGCAACTAAATTGCACTGGGGTTTATAATGTAAAGTGTCCTGCAACTTAGCTGCAACACTAAATGAAAAAAGTTTTAGTTTGACATATTGGAAAAAAATAAATTGCACACTGGGAAAAAATACATCATATGTGTTTAAAACTTGTAGTTGGGTCATGATAGAGTGTGAAAACAATTACAAGAGCAGTGCATACGCAAATTACGTATGCACGTTATGCCCCTAGACCTGGTAAAAAAACGGAGACTGCAAAATTGAGGTCTGCACAAGGCAGGGTACCCACGGGTCCCGCATAATCTGCTAAATAATTTGCGTGGTCATTGCGGGTAAACAGCCAACAGGTTGTGGGCTCATGCGGGCAGGTATTAGGGCTGGCGGAGTTGGGTGGGCTTGGACAACCATTGGCTGCTTGTAGAAGCGAACAGGCAAGCAACAAATGAGCTGCAGAGAAAATGTTAGTAATCACAAGCAACAAAACGCACGACACCATATAACTTTCAGTAAATAACTTGTGCACAAAATCAAACTGATTTCTTTCCACGATGGTTCTTTGGGCTTTTTAGCCTGTGCCACTGCTTCAGTCTCTTTTGGCTTTGATTTAATTTCAACTGACTTCTAGACGTTAATGGAGTAATTAGCTAATCATGTGATGCTGACACAGATAGAATATTAGTAGTTAAACCCAAAATGCTGTGCTGTTTTGTTTTTTTGTTTGTTTGTTTTGTTTTGTTTTTTTGCTCGGCTGTGGTGCTGCCCATTTGTCCGTTGACAGTGACGTGGAGTGGATTACAGCAAACGAATGCCGGAGTTGGCAAGGACCACATGCGTAGCCCAAAGTAGGCAGGTGCGGGTGGGCAATAAACACACTAACTTTTGGGGGGGGGAGTGCAAGTAAGTTAGTAATTAATGTAAATACTGAAGTAATTTGGTAGTTAAATCAGATGAGTATTGATAATCAGGCCTGTGCAGACCTCTACTGCAAAAAGCAAGTTCAGAGCACCTCATTAATCACCGTAATCATCTTTAACTGCTTAGTCCAGGTAGGGTTGCGGTAGCAGTTGGGAGAGCAGTGAATCTCAGACGGCCCTGTCCCCCGCAACTTCCTCCAGCTCATTCCTGTGGACCCCAACCCGCTCCCAGCCAATTTGGAGATATTATCCCTCCAGTGGGTCCTAGGATGACCCTGGTGTCTCATCCCAGTAGGCCGTGCCTGTTAAACCCCCACAGGGAGGTGTCCAGGGCACATCCTGATCAAATGCCTAAACCACCTCAACTGGCTCCTCTCAGTGCAGAGGAGTAGCTGTTCTACTCCGAGCTCCTCACCTTATCAAGCAGAGTGTAGCCCACCACCCTGCAAAGAAAGCTAATTTTCACCACTTGTCTCATTATTTCAGTCATTACCAAAGCTCATGACCACAGGTGAGGGTCGGGATGTAGACCGACTGGTAAACAGAGAGCTTTGCCTTATGGCTCAGCTCCCTCTTCACCACTACAGTCCGGTACAGTGACCACATCACTGCTGCCGCCTGTCCCAGCCTGCGGACGATCTCACCATCCCTCTTCCCATCACTCGTGAACAAGACCCCTGAGATACTTAAACTCCTCCACCTGGGGCAGGTCCTCTCCCCTTATCTGGAGTGGGCATGCCATCCTTTTCCGGGATAGGCCTCATTAAGTGTTTGCTCATAATTCTATTTTGCTTATAAACTTAGCTCAGCGTTCTTTAGGGCCCTAGTGAAGAAGGCGACAGCCATCCATGCAGCTTTCGGACTTCTCGTGTTGGATGGGATGCAACCACAAAGAGAGTATGCTGTCAGTTGGGATGGAGGAGGGTCGGACTTAATGAAAGTGAGGGGTCTGGACCTCTCTAATACGGCAATGAACCCAAGGATAGACATCTGGTGGGCACGGCTGTGATGGACCGACCACCACATCACACACTTTAGATGTCTCACACATCAACGGGTGACCGACAGCACTCTTCTATGCCATTTTCGACAGTGGGGACTTTCCGCCCACTGCCCAGCACTTTAGCTACCGCTGATTCTCGACAACAGACGTCTACACCGTCTAAGGTACCAAGAAGGTGACCAGAGGAAGAATGACCGGTGTACTGTGTTTTCAGATGAGTCCTGCTTCAGTTTACTGCACTGTGGTGGACAAGTCCATGTAAAGAGGCACCGAAAAGCTCATGGAGGCTTGCAGTTTGTAGCACCATATGGGTGAACCACCAGGCATTATGGTTTGGGGTGCCATTGGGTTCTACTGCAGTTTCGCACCATATACGCATAGCTGGTACCTTGACCAGCCTGAAGACATCGCAGAGGTGTTGGAGGAGGTCCCCCGGTGCCGTGCTCTAACAAGACAATGCTTGACAACGAGGTGCGAAACGTCCTCCAGTTCCTAGATAGACCACCATGTGCCACTTCTTTCCTGGCCCACATGCTCACCCAAGCAGCCCAAATAGTGAACATGCCTGGGACATGGTCGCACGGCGACTGCTGCAGCAGAAACAACCAGCGGCTACCATGGATGAACTTTGGGGACGTGTAGAAGCTGCATGGCACTCCACAAACATGTGTCCACCGTCGCTTCCTCTCTGTATTTCTTGTATTGTTGTTATAATCATGTATGCCATGTATCCTTGGCAGTCTGCCAAATAAATGTTGCTGTGTGCGTGTGTATATATATATATATATAATGTATATGGATCATTCTACCAAACAAGTTCAAACTGCAGTCCCATAGCAAAAAAAAAATAAAATTAAAGTTGCATATTCAGATGTTAAATATTTACAAGAATTATGTTTGAATCTGTTTAAAACCCATGGTATTAATAGAGATAGTAATAAGCTAAATGAATACAAAGTCATCATTTATAAGGTACTCTCTGTTGGGAGGTGTCTGTCCCAAACCCTAACCTCTCGATTTTACTTTGATAAAATTATACTTTACTTTTTGGAATTTTTTTCTAAAATAAATGTAAAGATCTTTTTGATTGATTTCAAAGTGAGGTTTAAAGATTTTGATTTATCGTGAGTTTAATTTTTAATCAAAAAATGCAATCCTGTCACTACTGAAACAAAGAATTTTAGTCATTGGGCGGAGCTTGATTTTAGCCACACCCCTGAATTTTAGATCAGAAAGTGAGGCTGCATCCTTGTCCCTCACGGCCACATAGTGAGCAGTTAGATCCCATTGTTTTGAAGTAAATGTGTCCCAAAGTCTGAAAATCAGTGTGGAGCATTAAGGATTGTCACTACCGAAACACATTTTCTGAGATTCTGAAATCTTTTTGTGTTTTAATGAAAAATATGATTTATTTGTGTGCAACTTTTTTTAAAGCTGTTTTTGTTGGTCTTTTACTGGCTCACATTTTTGAGTTCTGCTCAAAATGAGCTAAAATGGTCACTACTGGAACAGAGCCTACTGAAATATTGGAGAGGTTTTGATAGGGTTATGATTACTTTGGTAGTGACAAAATGGCATATTCAATCATTTGTTTTAATAATATAAACGTAATTACAGTTATATAGACTCACTGAAAGCAAAAGGATTTTAATCTGAGATCAGTTAAAAGCCTGAAATGTGTCTTCAACCAATAATTAATGTTGAATGTAAATGTAAGTATTTACATAATTGACTATCTAATTGTTTTAAATACAATACCAAATTGAAAAGATCACGAATTCAAGAAACCATAACGTCTAGATATCTTATGTGTAACGTGTGAGTAGATATTGATTGTTTAACACAACAATCTATTGGTCCATCTTGACTTCACCTAATTGGACCTTAAGGTAGAAATTCTAAGCAAGCATATTTTTGCTTGCTCTGAGTTCAGGTCCAGTTTCCGAGTGCATAGAAGGAAAGTAGCCGATTCTACAAAACAACTCTCCTCTGAATCAAATTTCGGAGCCTTATTCCAACATGGATCAGTGAAGCATCTTGATCTCTTTGTTTTCAGAGAGACATGATGTCACAGGATGTGGCCGCTTTGGCCTTTCTGATCCTCTGGGTCATTAGATTAGGCCGCTCGAGGCCCGCCTCGTTTTGTAGCATTCACAGCGGCTGATAATTAAAAGCGTTCCCGCTCAGGTCGGTGTGACATATGGAACAGATCGTGTATGCGCTCGGCGACTCGCCTGAAAGCTTTGCATGTAATTACAGCGAAGAAATAAAAAACGCCATTTCGGTGGAACCCAAGTTTTCATCAAGCTCTCAAATAAACGACATTTGGGCACCACATCAAACGCCATATTTTCCTCTTGATCAGTGGCAAAGTAAATGAAATTGTGAAGCGCGTTCTGAAAGCTCAGCAAACTTTTATCAGCCCAAAGTGCTTTGATGAAACTGTAGCTACATGTTTGCTCCGTTTGGGCCTTCAGACACATCAGAACGTGTGCACTGACTGGGCCCTGAGGTTTATGTTGGCTTTAAATTCTTCCAAAATGGTAACTAAATTAATGTAATTTTATATTCACTATTTTTAGCGTAGCTCATTGAAACAAGGAATTCTGCCGAAAGTACGGATCCAAATCTTCTAGCAGTCAGTATCATATATGTATATGTTGTATGTGAAGAGGGGATTTTCCATTATGATTTTAGTTTGATACATTTTTAAGTAAAGTCGTAATTTGAAGGGAAAAAACTAATTTCTTGACATCGAAAAACAACGTAACAACGTAATTATTAACCCCATTTCCAAAAAAGTTGGAACGCTGTGCCGAAAGTAAATAAAAATAGAATGCAATGATGTGCAAATCATATAAACTATACTTTTAAAGGAAAATACTACAGACAACAAATCATATGTTGAAACTGAGAAATTTTGTTTTTTGAAAAATATATGCCCATTTTGA